ATGTGGCATGCACAAACGCCCACCGGGTCAAGTACAAGAAGACACGCGGACATATATCCAATCTTTCAGACAGATGGCGCGCCGCAGTGGCCTGAAGCTTACAACGTGGCACCCACCCCAACATGGGCTCGGGCACAGTTCTCCTTTGAGCCGAAAGTCGAGTACCACATCGGGCAAAGGGGCTTCAGATGGAGGCAGCAAAACTGAAAAAAAAAAAAAGAAAACAAAAAAAAAAAAGAAGCAAGCAATTCATCGGCCCCTATACAAGGGCGACGACTCTCTTCAGACGCGGATGACCGTCGTTCAAACATTTGAGGAGGGGTGGGGATCCAGAAGGTGGGGGAAACCTTTGGAACAAAGGGCCGGATCTCAACAGATCGTGACGACAAGGCCACTCTACTGCTTACAACACCCCGTTCCCTGTCTATGCCGTCTGCAAAGGGTTTGACTCCCCGAGCGAAAGAAATTGTGAAAAAGAGACCCCCAGGGCGTCGGTGCACCGCCGCAGGAGGGACAACTCCGAACTTATGCTTTCGGGGCCAGACSGGCTGGCCCTATCGACAGCCTTGTGTCATCCGAGGAGGCATACGYCGTCGCTGCAAGCACAGATTCTGACTTAGAGGTGTTCAGTCATAATCCCACGCAAGGTAGCTTTGCACCGCTGGCTTTTCAGCCAAGCACAATTGCCAATTGTGCGAACCAACGGTTCCTCTCGTACTGGGTTGGATTACCATTGCGACGGYGGTGCATCAGTAGGGTAAAMCTAACCTGTCTCACSACGGTCTAARCCCAGCTCACGTTCCCTGTTGGTGGGTGAACAATCCAACACTTGGTGAATTCTGCTTCACAATGATAGGAAGAGCCGACATCGAAGGATCAAAAAGCAACGTCGCTATGAACGCTTGGCTGCCACAAGCCCGTTATCCCTGTGGTAACTTTTCTGACACCTCTAGCTTCAAGTCCTGAAACGCTAAAGGATCCATAGGCCATGCTCTCACAGTTTGTATTCGTACTGGAAATCAAAATCAAATGAGCTTTTGCCCTTTTGCTCCACACGAGATTTTTGTTCTCGTTGAGCTCATCTTAGGACACCTGCGTTATCTTCTAACAGATGTGCCGCGCCCGCCAAACTCCCCACCTGACAATGTCTTTTGCTTGGATCGGACACGCCACGAGGGCCTGCACCTTGGATCAAGAAGCAGGGGGAGACCCCCGGCTCCACCTCACGAAATAAGTAAAATAAGGTTAAAAGTAGTGGTATTTCACTTGCGCCGTAAGGCTCCCACTTATTCTACACCTTTCACAGAGTCGAATTGAGTCAAGCTTAATAGGGTCTTCTTTCCCCGCCGATTCATCCAAGCCCGTTCCCTTGGCTGTGGTTTCGCAGGATGGTAGATAGGGACAGTGGGAATCTCATCAATCCATTCATGCACGTCACTAATTAGATGACGAGGCATTTGGCTACCTTAAGAGAGTCATAGTTACTCCCGCCGTTTACCCGCGCTTGGTTGAATCTCTTCACTTTGACATTAAGAGCACTGGGCAGATATCACATTGCGTCAACATCTGTTGGGACCATCGCAATGCTTTGTTTTAATTAAACAGKCGGATTCCCCTTGTCCGCACCAGTTCTGAGTCAGCAGTTTGATGCTTAGGGAGAGTCCCACGGCCCCACCCGAAAGGTGGGGACATAAGACATTCTACGCCCGTCGGCAGACTGGCACGCTGGCTCCGCCCTCGCCGCGAGAGCAGCTCGGGCAGACCACCGGCAGCCAACGACATCAATGCGCAGACCCCTAGGCCCAGCCCTYAGAGCCAATCCTTTTCCCAACGTTACGGATCCATATTGCCGACTTCCCTTACCTATATTCTTCCTTTGACCAGAGGCTGCTCACCTAGGAGACCTGATGCGGTTATGAGTACGGCCGGGCGTGAGAGGTACCCGCAACTCAAGATTTTTAAGGGTCGTCGGGGGCACGCTGGACACCACAAGACGCGCGGTGCTTTGCCGGGCGCTGCACCCTATCTCCGGTTGATCCGATTCCAGGGTGGGCGAGCCGCCAAGAAGGAAAGAGAACCCTCCCCACGGCCCCCGCCGGCTTCTCCGGAGCTGCTTACATTACCGTCCACCTCCACAACCCGGTTCGGGAATATTADCCCGACCCCCTTTCGATGTGCGGCGCGCAGTGCGCCCGTGATACAAGGTTTCCACATCTCTTAGGGCCGACTGACCCATGTCCAAGCGCTGTTCACATGGAACCCTTCTCCACTTCGGTCTTCAAAGTTCTCATTTGAATATTTGCTACTACCACCAAGATCTGCACCGGGACCCGCTTCACGTAGGCTCACGCTCCAGGCTTCGCAGCAGGCCCTGCGCCCTCCTACTCGTTGCAGCGTCACAATCGCCGCGACGCCCGAGCATAGGTCGCGCGCTTCAGCGCCATCCATTTTCGGGGCTGATTGATTCGGCAGGTGAGTTGTTACACACTCCTAGCAGATTTCGACGTCCATGACCACTGTCCTGTTGTCTGTATCAATCAACACCCTTTGTGGTGTCTGGGTTTGCGCGCAGTTTGGAACCGTAGCTCGAGTTTCGATTCATCCTGCATCGCCAGTTCTGCTTACCAAAAATGGCCCACTTGGARCTTTCATTGATCCTCGGGGTTTGCTTAAGCAACCCCAAAATCTTACCTATTTAAAGTTTGAGAATAGGTCGAGGGTGTTTCACCCCCGAGGCCTCTAATCATTCGCCGTCCACCCCTGCCCAGACAGGAGCGCACGACTTCCCCTCCATCCGCTTCTCGCTTGACAATTTCAAGCACTCTTTAACTCTCTTTTCAAAGTTCTTTTCATCCTTCCCTCGCGGTACTTCTTCGCTATCGGTCCCTCGCACATATTTAGCCTTGGATGGGACTTACCACCCAATTGGGGCTGCATTCCCAAGCAACCSGACKCTTGGACAACACCTCGTTGCDTAGCAGGGTCCGGCGGTCGACGGGGCTGTCACCCTCTTCGGCGTCCCCTTCCAGGGAACCTGCACACGGCCCGCTGCAGAGGTTGCCTCTCAAGACTAGAATTCAGGGAGCAACAGAGCCCCTGGATTTTCCGTCTGGGCTATTCCCAGTTCGCTCGCCGCTACCAAGGGAATCCTCGTTGGTTTCTCTTCCTCCGCTTAGTTATATGCTTGAATTGGAAGGGTGCTCCCGCTCGACGTGATATCGGAAGGCAAGGCCCGGCGTACCTCCACAGCTCACGGCCGACACCCCCAACCGCAATCCCACCTCCAACTGATGGGAGCGAATGGAAGGCGGCAACCACACAAACCGGAGGGACGACCTTACGTGCCGTTTTCAGGGAAACGAAGACCACCACCCACAAAC